TTTTCTCATATATGTGGAAGCTACAGATAAAAATGAAAAAGAAAGATATGTGTGGGAATCTAATGAAAAGTGAAGAGAGTTCAGTAGAGTAGGGGAAGACGAACTGGAGGAAGGAGGAGAGGAGAGAAAGTGTAAATGATATTGACCAAATTATCTCATTACATGTGTGCATGTATGAATATGTGACAATGAGTCCTGTCACAACACATGACTACACCAGTCAGGGTCACTCCAGGTGAACTGGGCTGGCATGAAATAATCACATAGAGACAGAGAAATATTTTTTTTCTTTGGGTTCTGCGATGGCTGCTTTGACCCGGCTCCCAAAAAGGAGGCAAGAAAGGAGAGAGAGCATGTCTCAAACCCGGGGTTTTATTAAGGGAAGCTGTTCCATGGAATATTCTATCCCCAAAAGCACAAAGGGGTAGGATTACAAAGGAACAGGTGAGTGTAACTCAATTCCACCAGGTGACGCCTATCCTGGAGCCACGCCTTGTGATAAGTTACTGCTGATCGCAAGAATTGTTCAGGACCCCAGGGCATCAGGACCTAAAAGTTTGTTCATCCAGGGTGGCTCCCCACAGAGTCCCAACATTATGTAGATGTATAATGTAACAATAAAAATATATAAAAATATTTGTTTGATAATTCAGTATTTAGATACCTTTGTTCCCTTTGTATTCTCTATTTCTTTTTGCAAGTTCTTTATGAACTCAACTCTAGTGTATATTATCTTTGATTATATGCCAAACATTACATTGGAAAAAAAAAAAACACCCAGAATCTTTAAAGGCTATTTGTGTTATATAGTTTTCTTTGACAACATCCTTGTAAAACAAGCCAGTTTTGTCAGTATTAAAAATCAGCTTTTCAATACAGCTTTCTTTCTGTAACAATTAGCAGGGTAACAATAGATATGGGGAGAGAAACGGGGATGACTAGTAATGGTTATGGAGTTTCTCTTTTGGATGATGAAGATATTGTCAAATTGATGATATTGATGGTTACACAAGTCTGAACAAACTAAAATCCATTGGGCTGCACATTTTAAATGAGTGAATTTGATATGTGAATAATTCCTCAACAAATATATTTTTAAAAAGGTCTTGTAACCTCTTATCTGAAGAACCTGCCTTGTCTGCACTTGAAACAGTATGAGCTGAGCAGAATTAGACCTTTTCCTTACCCTGTGTAACCTGAGCATGACTTTTTCTAGCTTTCAGATTCGCAACAACACTGCTTACTATGTTTCATTCTTTTTTTTTTTTTTTTGTACTGAGGATTGAACTCAGGGGAGCTTAAGCATTGAGCTACATCCCCAGCTCCCCCTCCCTGTTTTAAAAATCTTAAGATAGGGTCTTGTTAAGTTATTTAGTGCCTCACTAAGTTGCTGAGGCTGACTTTGAACTTGCAATCCTCCCACCTCAGCCTCTGGAGCCGATGGGATTACAGACATGTACCACCACACCTGGCTTTGATTTTTGTTTTTCCAACTTGCCATTATATGATGAATCCACCAATGTAGCTACTTTTCCATCTTTCCATCTTCTCCATACCTTTGTTACATACCATAGTATTACTTGAACATTTTTCTTGAGTGGCCACGTGTATAGATAGGCAAATTTCCTCTTTTTTTCTGAAGGATGGTGCTGTTGATTCATTAACATTGAACTCACAGACAATAGCACTAGAAGTTATGCCTGAATGAAGCTTATCAAACACAGGCATTTTCTCCCTAAGGCACATTACAGCCTGTCTGTGCTCAGGAACACTTTAATACTACACGTGGGGAACATTTTGAAGCAATAAAATCACCCAACAAGACAAAAAATATAGAAAATACAGCACTAAATAGACTGCAAAAAGGACATGTTTACTCTTATGAGAACAAATGGGAAGGCAGAGCTTCACCCTTTTCAACTTCATTGGGGAAATGCATGTTGGGTGACTCTGAATGTCTGCAAAGGATGACAGAGGTGCTGAGAGTATTGATTTTAGGGTGACCAATGACAAATAGGTATTAGTGAGCAGGCAAGTAAGCAAATACAAAAATCCCGAATAATGAGGATAGATTGTACCGGAGATTTCCTAATCCAGTTTCAGGAATTGAGATTTGGTGTCACACAGATGGTTTAAAGATGGGATGCAGTGCTTTGTGTGGGTTATGGCTTCAGGGGCATCCTTATTCCAGCAGTGCATTGTTCTAGATCTCAACCCAAAACATGAAATCCCCCAAATCCAGCTTTTTCTCCCTTTACCCTCGATGCTGTCACAACATTGCTCAGTCCCTTTTTCTGGAATTGGCCACTGGTCTAAGGGTAAAAAAAAAATAAAATTCCAGGATTTCTTCTCTGAATTTCTGCCCTGTCCTGAGTTTTGACTAAGCAAGCACCACATACAAACAAAGATGTGTGCCCGCAGTAAATACAAACAAAGATGTTGTGCCTGCCGAAAACTAAAAAATAAATATTAAAAAAATTCAAAAAAAAATGAAGGCATTGTGTTGTGTCCATCTACGCCTAAAAAATAAATATATATAAAAAAGATGATTTAAGATTTATTCCATCAGGGCCATTTTCATATTGTCACCAGATAATATTTTGTGAGAAAACTACAAAATTTTTAAAAATCTAGACTGAACAATATATTCTGACATTTTTATGAATAGCCTTTGTTAGGGACACGGGGAGAAATCGCATGCCTAGGACTGATGGGAATGTGGTTCCTTCTGAGGAGCATGGACATTTTAGCTTTCAGTCCATCCGGAAAGAGGTCAAAAGGACATTAAGGGGATGGGTTTGAGACTAAAGCAAAGTGAAAGATCATTTTTTCTTTGAGAAACAGTGTTTCTGGTGATGTTGGGGGAAAATAGTAGGCTGCTCTGGGTCATGTGAAAAAGGTCAAGTTTGAGAAGGATATCTAGTTTGGATACAGGGCTGGGACCTCCTGGGAAACTGAGGCAGCATGATGACCCCCCAATCCTTCAAACCCCGAATCTAGCCATCAAGTCAGAAAGATTTCAGACATGTCACTCAGAGTTAAGGACATGAGTTTATTAAAGGGAGAGGAAAAGGGAAATGGGTCACTGTCAAGGGAGAGACAGGGTCCTCTCAGGAGGAAGACTGTGTCTCTCCTGCACTCCAGTTTCATTGGGGATCCCAGAGAAAGTTCCAGAGAGTCCTTCCCAGGTCTACCTCTTGACTTTTGACTGACAGGAGAATGACATCAGACCTTCAAATCTCCACTGTCATGACAACCCCGGGTCACTTTGGCTTATGCTGACAGGTTCTAATGGGATCCTTATCTCCCTGAATTTGGGGATCTGGTCTGTGAAAAGGGTCACAAAATTCTTCCTTCAGGATAACCTGGGGATTTCACTTATCAGCATTATTTCAGGGCCTGCATTTCTTCTGCAGATAACAGATAGTTTGTTGAGGAATGTGGCATATCCTGCTCACTCACC